GAGGGTCAGAGGGAGAAGCAGACTCCCTGCTGAGCAGGGAGCCCGATGCGGGACTCGATCCTGGGACTCCAGGATCATGACCTGAGCCGAAGGCAATCGCTTAATCAACTGAGCCACCCAGGCACCCCCTATTTATGTAATATTCTTAAAGTGACAGAATCATAGAACTAGAGAAGAGGTTGGTGCTTTCTGGGTTAAGGAGGGGATATGGGTCGGAGGGAAGTAGGTGGCTCTAAAAGGACAGTGTGAGTGGTCATTATTGCGATGGGGATGTCCTGTATCTTGGCTGTGTCAGTGTCAATATCCGAGTTGTGATATTGATCTCAGAATAAAGAGCTGAATTTGAAAAACTAAATTTTGTAAACCCAATGAAATACATTACATTAAGAGCAAAGGTATTAAATACTTGAAACTTGTCCCTCCTTAATTATTTTATTACTTTCACTATTACCTGTGTCCTTGAAGTTATTTATGCCTGTTGTACCTGTGTGGTGGAAATATTATGTAATAATGTGCTGCTGTGTCTCTCTCCCCAATTCTGCATTCAGTGGCATCATGTTGATAGCTTGATCAGCCATAGCGGGAGTATCTACACCACAGAAATGAGCAGACACTGCAGACTAGGTCTCCCATCCCTTAACAGCAGACTGATCAATTTATATCAGGACACCACTGCTTATAAGGTAAGGGATTTTCAAAACATAGGAAGTGGGTTTAGATACTCAGGAAACACCCCCTCTGCAATATGTCCATCAAAAAAATGGATAATGATTTGGATCAGTTATGAGAGGAAGAAGGTGGGCACTATTTTTTTTTTAAGATTTTATTTTTAAGTAATTTGTACACCCAATGTGGGGCTCAAACTCACAATCCTGAGATCAAGAGTCAAATGCTCCACCAACTGAGCCAGCCAGGAGCCCCAAAGCTGAGCTCTTCTTAAGGCTATTTCCTCTCCGCTTCATTGCTACCCTCCTTTTCTATGAGGCAGTTGTGGACTGTGGATGACACGGATGCTGGAGGGGAATGGAATCCTGGCTGTTGATAATCTTGTTTTTTGAATATTCAGCAGAGAAATGACAGGATGGTAGAACGACAAAAAAAAAAAAAAAATGGAGCCCTTATGAATGCCCAGGTATCTTTTGCACTTTTTTTCCAGGCAATATTCTCCCTACGGTTTCTCTCTCCATCAAATTCTGATCCTTTCTTTGGCACCCTTGTCTAGGGACCCCATAGCTATCGGTTTTGCTCTTGCGCAGATATTTCCTTTTCAAAAAATGCTTCTCCATTGGGCCATAGGTAGGATGGGAGAGGGGGGCGATGGGATTTGGTAGGCATCTGCTGAACCATCCTGTCCCATGTGGGGATACATGGACTCTGGGTATAAGGAGTTCTCTTCATCCCTGGACTTGCTAAATTGGCCCTGGCAGCATCCATGCTCCTTGCCACACAGAGAAGCCTTCTCTGAAGCCAGAGTGTGGCCAACACAGAGCTAGGCAGAGGTGACAGACGGACACACAGACAGACAGGTGGAGTCCGATTTGGGCTGAGTCCCTGGGAGCTCCTGCGGTCCTCTTCCCTGAAGCTTGTTCTTCCTCCCAGCTGAATTCCCTTTTTGGCTGAAGCAAAATCTGGTTGAGTTTTTCGGCACGTGCAGCCAAAAAAATTCCAGATAAACACACACTCGTTGTAGAGCCTCCCCCAGTCTCCATGGCTCCTCTTCCTTTCTCTGGCTCTCGATCCCTCTCCCCTCTATGTGGAAGATATATATGCTGTCCAAAGCTGCCAGCCACAGCCTAAAACCCTGGGAAACCCCCTTCCACCTAGACATCTGGTTAAGTGGCGATCTCCAGAGGTCCCCTCCATGTCTGGATGCTGCAACCGGCCACCGAGCTGAGTCAGAGACAGGGTAACAGCACGATTCTGCTGTTCTATAGACTGAAAGAAACATTTGGGCAGGAATACACGTTGTTTTTTCTTTTTTTTTTTTTTCAATTCGGAAGAAACCTCCCCAAATCAAGCCAAATGTTTCTGAGAAGCATTTTGCGGCGGTAAACTGATTGGGTGCTGAGGCACCTCCGTCTCCGGCTCCCGTATTCCCTGATTTATTTTGGCACCGGAACATCTGCAGTGCCACCATCCAGCCAGATGCTGAGGTTTTGTCTACGCAAGGGTGCAAACTGCACATGGTTTATTTCAATTAGCTTAATTGTTTTTGGTATTTAATAGCTAATGGTCTTAATTAGCTTCCAAAGCACAACAATGCCAACAACGGTAATGACTACATCTTATCCATATGGTTACAGAAGACGGATGACTCGATTTCCCATCCTCAGGCTGTGCGAGTCCCTGGAGAGGACCCGGCAGATGCGAGAGGAAGAAGACGGAAGTCCTCCGGAGAACTGACCCAGCCTTGAAGGCAAAACCCGAATATTAAGAGTAAATGAGGAGGTGATGGACAGGGGAATAAAACAGGAGAATGAAGGATTTATGTAGGACTCGAGTCATCTATTTTCTTAATGTACATACCATGGGGTGATGCTGAGTGAATAATAACAACACATTTCATGGGGCCAGCAGGCTCTCTTGGTTCTGTTTGAAGACCAAATGGTAGGACACTGAAAGTGAGAAATGCCCCCAAGAGCAATCTGTCTTAGGAAAAGCTGGTACCAGTCAAAACACGGGTGACGTTTCTTTGACAAATCTGGCTTAGAAGAAGTTCATAGCTAGTGCTTGGTGTATATTCAAAGCTTAATATATGTTTTAATCAGCACCTCTCAGGAAATCCTTTGGGCTCAATCTTCAAAATATATCTGGAACCTACCGCTTAGCACATCCTTAACTGCTACAATCCTGCTCTGATCTGCCATCATGTTTGGCCTGCCCGCCTTGCCCAGTCTCCCCACTTGTCCTCCCCCCCTCCCCACCGCATCTACCCTTAGCCTCTACAGTTAATTCTCAATACAACAGCCAGAGGAATCTTTTAAAACGTAAATCATATCACTGCCCTTCTCCGAACTCTCTAATGGCTCCCACCTCACTCGGAATGAAAGCGGAGTCCTTGAGATGACCAGTCAGGTACCCGAAATGGTCTTACCTTCCTGAGATCATCTGCTCCTCCTTTCCCCCAGTCCCTCCCCTGCACCTGCACTCAATGTCCTTCACATTTTCACACTTTCAGGCTGCACTGCACAGTGCCCTTCCCACTAGCCACGATCGTATTGGACAGTGCACAGATAGAACATTTCCAACATCGCCAGAAGGTTCTATTGGACCGTGCTGCCTTAGGGAATTTATATTGGCTGGAAGACTCTTTCCAAAGATGTCCACATGGCAAACTGCCTCAACCCCTGAGCCTTTGCTCAAATGTCACCTTCTCCAACAGGCCCACTCTGACCACCCAGCTTAAAATCTCAACCCACAGCCTGGTTCCCCCACCAATCATTCCTGCTCCCCTCACTGTTTTTCCTATAGCACCTCACGCCTTATTGCATATTAAAGAATTCAATTATTTATTATACTCATTGATTATTGTCAGTCTCCACCGCCCCACCCCGTGAAAATGAATAATTTTTGCCACCGCTGTGTCCTTGGCATCTAGTACAGTGCCTAGCACAGCACAGAATAGATACGCATTGAATATTTGTCGAAGGAATTAGTTAATGGATCAACATATTTACTGAGCACCTGCTGTGTTCCAGGCTCTGTGGTAGGCGCTGGGGATACATAGAAAATAGAATAGACATTGTTCCTGCTGTCATAGAGACAAGTAAACAAGCAAATACCTAATACAAGTTCTTTTTTTAAAAAAGATTTTACTTATTTATTAGAGAGAGACAGAGATAGCAAGAGAGAACACAAGCAGGGGGATCGGGAGAGGGAGAAGAAGTTCCTTGCTGAGCAGGGAGCCCGATGCAGGGCTCGATCCCAGGACCCTGGGATCATGACCAGAGCCGAAGGCAGATGCTTCACCGACTGAGCCACCCAGGCGCCCCCCCAATACAAATTTTGAAGTGTTCTATGAAAGAGAGAAATGGCAGGAATAGAGAATATCGTGTGCACGCGTGCATGTGTGTGTGTATCAGGATGGGGAGACTTTTTGGTGAGGATAAGCCAGCTTTGTAAAGAAGAGTGGAGGGGGGCAGTTGCAGGGAGGGGCTGAAGAGTATTCCAGAGGAAAATGGCTGAGCAGAGGCCCGATGCACGGAAGGACGAATTAACAGTGCATGAGACATGACCGAATCATCAGTCATCACAGTTCGGGCATCAAGGGGGCAGCCTTCCTTGGCAGCGCTGGGCTTGCCCCAGCAACATCCGAATCATCCTGTTGGAAATGCAGATTCCTGGGGCCACCCCCAAACTTGGGAATCTGTGCTGTAACGTGCCCGCCAGCTGATCCTGACCCTCCCCGTTCTATAACACTGTTCCCTCTGAAGAGTGCAAGCACTGGTGGGTGCCTGATGACTGTTGCTTGAATGAATGAATGAGTGAATGAAGGGATCCGTGTAGTGCTCGTGTGAATGGTGCCTGTTCCTTGGCAAAAGCTCCGGCAATATGTAGCTCAGAATATAAAGCGATGCTTTCTTTCTTTATTGAGCCAGATGGGCAATCATTAAGTGGAAGAATAAAAGAGAAGGGAAGGCCCAAGTGTCACAGGAATTCAGGGAGGTGGATTTAGAGAGGAGGAAGGCATTCCTGTGGGGAAAGTGAAGGCTTGAGGCTAAGGGAGCATGGCTTGGTCCTGGGGGAGAGCAGGAGGCCGGAAGGGCCGTGTGTATGTGAGGAGGGGATGGTGCTGGAGAATGGACAGGTCTCTACTGTCGCTGTAGAAATTGCACAGTAGGACTCCTGGGTGGCTCAGTTGGTGAAGTGTCTGCCTTCGGCTCGGGTCATGATATCAGGATCCTGGGATCGAGTCCCACGTCGAGCTCCTTGCTCAGCAGGGAGCATGCTTCTCCCTCTCCCTCTGCCTGCAGCTCCCCCTGCTTGTGCTTTCCCTCTCTCTGACACATAAATAAAATCTTAAAAAAAAAAAAAAAGAACAGATGGTACCATCACCATCTAGCATTTTCTATATGCCACGCACAGTCCTAAGCATTTTACACGCATATGGTCATTCAATCGTCATAATCCAAGGAGGTAGCTACTCTCTTATTTGACCAATGAGGGACTGTGGCACAGAAAGGTCAAATAACTTGCCTAAGATCACCCAGCTACTAAGTGGTTGAGCCTGATTTGAGCCCAGGCCATCTGGTTCCGCTATACTCTGCTGCTTCTACTACACTCTGAGCACAAAGGACCTTGGGAAATAGTTCACGGCCTTCTGCCCACCAGTCCCTTTGGAGGCCCTCTTGGGTGTGGTGGTGGTCGGTGCTTTAGAATGTCCCTCTTTTCTGGATCCTTCATCTTTCCCTCTGACTCTGTCCTCTACCCTCTGGTTTTTGTGGTCAGTGTGTCGGCCAATTTGCATGGGTGGGTGGGACGAATGGTGCAAATAGACGGAGGGGGCTGTGGACCTCGTCCCAAGTCTGCGCAGGGGGAATAGGGCTTTTTGGGGTGTGAAGTTTACATTATCTTGGGAGGCTTCTTTAAGAAAATGAATACACAAATGCCTTGCTTTTGCAAATTAAAAAAAAACATTGACGTTGTGAGTTCTGACAAGTTCCCTCCCCACACCCAGGGCTTGGAAGGGGCCTAATTAGCTTCTCAGAAAACCTGCCTCTGGGTCTGGGCCTGCTTTCTCCGGCCATGCCAGAGTGGAAGGTCTACAAGACGAACATCTTCTTGCTAATATCCATCTCCTCTTAGAGTAAAAGTCAAGCATATGATCCTCCTGGAATCTCTTTTTCTCAGTTCAGCAAAGCCTTGGGGTGACTTTTTATCCTTCTAGCTTGGGAGAGAGCAAGAAAACGCTATCTTGCCTCATTTAGGAGAATAATGGTGTCTTAAAGAGTAAGGCGGTAGGTGGGGGATTCCACTGCTGTCCGCTGGGACTCGCGTAGCTGGCTTGCCTCCCAAAAGGAGCTGGCTTTCATTTGGCTGGGGTCCCAGGCACAGGCTGCCATGGGCTGCAGTAAATGACCCCCAATCCTTCCCCTTCGCTGGCTTCCTGCCTATTTCAGCCTGTTTCTGCACACTTTTCATAAACATGGTCCGGTCAGGGTGTGACCTGGCTCTAGCCTCAGGAAGGACCTGGCTTTTTCTGTAAGTGATGTAGCAGGTACCAAAGCAAGGGAGGTAGCTTCCGTAGACAAGTCTTTTTCCTGGTGCCCATTTGGGCCGACGGTTATGCCAGAAACGGGTTCTGGTCTGTCCTTAAAACCAGATCAATATGATCAAGGTGGCTTTAGAGGCATAATTGAGAGGTTTGGGCAGGATTCTGGCCAGAGAGGCAGAGAAGAGCCAGGGGTAGGGGAGACCCCTGAGGGGTGAGCGCTGAAGCGGGGAGTCGCACGGGGATGGAGGTCAAGCTCATACATTTTCCACCATCACAACCCATTAATTCTAATGAGCTGACGCCACTTCAAAGCGGGTGACGCGTGCTCTCAGAGCGTGCGCGTCAACTTCACCATAATTCTCCCGGGACTAACGTAGGCCATTGAAAGCGCTCACTTGATATTCAAATAGTCCCTCTTTTCATTTTCTTCCCTCTCTTTCCCCCTCTCCCTGAGGAAATTGACTGGGAATGGCAGCTTCATAGACAGCGCTGAGCTGCACGTTAGAGCCAACCCAGCAGTCCTGGGGATTACGATCATAACCTCTTGGAATTGAACTATTAACTAATCCAAACACTAGTATATTAAGTCACCAACCCCGGCCTCCAGCAATTACCAAGACACCTCGTCGTCGTCAGTCATTCGAAAATGGTTGGAGCTACTGTTGCCTCTTTAATCAGGTCTCAAGCTTGGGGAGGCTGAGAGTCTCCTTTTTTTCTGCCTCCCTCATGTTTTCCCTGAAAGAATGGAGAGGGAAGTCGTTTTCTTTTCTTTCCCCCTCCCCTCATCCCTCCAGGAATCGTGTGATAAGGTTCAAAACCTGAAGATGGTAAAGCTAAAATTAAGTGCAAAATGTTCAAATGTCTTGAAACGTGCCCATTCCTTTTAAGAAGGATTATGTTTCTAGAACAGGAAGCAGAACAACAGGCAGAGTTCACCCAGAAGCTGAAATGACCAGCCAGCTGTAAAAGGAACACTTGTTGAAGGCAACAAGTTAATAAGGCAGACTGACCTTGAGAGCAGGATTTGTTTTTATCAAGGTCACCACCGTGTAGTGAATACTCATCCTGACTTAATTTGTGAACGGGGGCTGGCATGTCTCCCTTCTGATTCAGGCTGCTTTTGATCAGTGGTTGCTAAGGGGTGGGGATTTTAGCTGATGAATGCCTAACATTAAGTAACATCATGAGAACAGGGTTCTGTTTGGAGTCACACTGGCTGGGCTGGAATCTTGGCTTCACCACTTACTAGGTAAATGACCTTGAGCAAGCTACGT